AAAAAAAAAAAAAAAAAAAAAAAAAAAAAAAAAAAAATCTTAAGAGTAGCCAAAGAGAAAAGACAGATTGCCTAATTAGACTGAGAGCTGATTTCTCAATAGCAAAGAAAAAAAAATCTAAGAGACAGCAAAATGCTATTGCTATGAGCTGTGACACCACAGCACTCTACCGAGGGTTAATAAATGAAACTCTGTCTCAAAATAAAATAATACAGAGAAAAAACTGCTAACTCAGCATTTATTCTGTGATCAAGTAAAGATTACCTTTACAAATAAGGATGAACTAAAAATATTTTTTAAAATGAAGCTTAGGCTAGGTTCAGTGGGTCACATTTGTAATCCTAGCACTTTGGAAGGCTGAGGCAGGAGGATTGTTTGAGTCCAAGAATTAGAGACCAGAGGGGGCAACATGGTGTGACCATGATCCTATAAAAAGTAGAAAAGTCAAGTATGATGGCATGAACCTGTAGTCCCAGCTACTCAGGAGGCCGAGGCTGGAGGATCACTTGAGACTAGGAGTTTGAGGTTGCTGTGAGCTATGATGCTGCTGCTGCATTCTAGCCCAGGCAACAAAAAAACCCTGTCTCAAAAAGAAAAAATTGAAAAGTTCTGTTTTTTTAGACCAGTTTTTGGTTAGCAGCACAAGTGAGCAGAAAGTAGAATTCCCATATACCTCCTGACTCCCCCATCCCCCAAGACTCTCCCACTATCAACATCCCCCAGCAGAATGGTACATGTGATACAATTGATAAATGTTTATTGACACTTCCTTGTCACTTGAAGTCCTTATTTACATCAGGATTCATTCTTGTGTTGCAATCTATAGGTTTTTAAAAAATGTATAATATGTATCTTCCATTATAGTATCACACAGAATAGTTTCACTGCCTTGAAGGTCCTCCTGGCTTCACCCATCCCTCCATTCCAACCCTCAATCCTTACCAACCAATGATTCTTTTTTACTATCTCTATAGTTTTGTCTTTTCCAGAATGGTATATGGCTAGAATCATAAAGTATGTATCCTTTTTATATTGGCTTATTCCACTAGTAATACACATTTAAGATTCCTCCAAGACTTTTCATGGCTTAATAGCTAATTTCTTTTTAGTACTGATTAATATTCCGTTGGTTGGGTATATAACAATTTATTCATTTACTGATTGAGGGCAAGTTGGTTGCTTCCAAGTTTTGGCAATTATAAATGGAGCTGCTATAAACATCTATGTAGAGGTTTTGTAGAGACATAAATTTTCATCTCATTTTCATAAACACCAAGGAACACCATTCTTGGGTCAATGTGGTAAGAGTAGTTTTAGTTTTGTAAGAAACAGACAAACTATTTTCCATCATGACTATATGGTATCATTTTGCATCCCCACCAGCAATGAATGAGATGTTCCATAGCCCTATTAGCATTTGGTATCATCAGTGTTTTGGATTTTGGCCATTCCAGTAGGTGTGTAGTGGTATGTCATCTGATTTAATTTGCAAGTCCTTAATGACATATGATGGTGAGCAGATTTGCATATGTTTGCTTGTCATATTTTCTTTGCTGATGTGTCTGCTCAAGTCTTCTGCTTATTTTTTAATCATCTAAAAGCATTTTAAGGTTTGGACGCCAGTAGCTAAGTGGTTAGGGTGCCAGTCATATACACCCTGGCAGGTTTGAACCCAGCCTGGGCCTGCTAAACAACAACAACTGCAACAACAACCAAAAAAAACCAATAGCTAGGCATTGTGGCAGGTGCCTATCGTCCCAGCTACTTGGGAGGCTGAGGCGAGAGAATCGCTTAAGCCCAAGAGTTTGAGGTTATTGTGAGATATGGCACCACAGCACTCTACTGGGGGCAACAAACTGAGACTCTGTCTCAAAAAACAAACAAAAAAGCATTTAAAATAAATAAAAACCGAGAGAGCTTATTGCCTCTCTTTCTCTGAACTCTCACTGGAAGGCTTTGATAGATTTTACTTTTGGAAGGAGAAAATTTATCTCAGAAGGAAGGTCTGAAATGCAAGAAGAAATTATATGTATAATTAATGTTTTATACAGGATGATGTTATCTTCTCCCCAAATGTTTTACTATTAGTAAGCAGTTAGAGCAGGGACAGATGGTGTTAATTTAGTCTGAGATACAGCTGATTGAGGGCTGGGTTTTGGTTTTAAAAGGTTGATCCACTTTAAGTTAGCTCTGGTTCTCATAATCCTTTGTATGTCCCCAGTGAAAGCCTGGAAGTATTTACAGGAACCGTTCTTAGCGGGCCCTGAAGTACTTCCAGCCTCATCAGACTGCCTATAAATCTATCCCCTCTGCCTCATAGCCACAATCTTTCTCTCAGCTTCTCTGTTGTTCAGTTGCTAGATCTCTCGGCCACTGCTTATTATTCAGTGAACGCTTCAAGACAAAAGGCTGTGGCAAATGTCAGACTCACTTTAAAGATTTCTTCTCTTTAGGGTCTTGGTCTCTTAAGTCTTCATTGCTACATTAGTGCACTGATTCTTTCCAACACATTTTTAAAACTATTCAATGAGCTTTCCTAGTTGTTCTTAGCTAGAGGGCTAGCCTGTGGTAAGCTAGTCTGCAGGAGGCTGAATTGTTACTGTTTTTGGCAGGGGCTAGAAAGGAAAATTGAGTGGATCTCTAAAAGCTTCACTCAATTTCAAGTTTTTCAATAGTGGCAACTTTTTTTTTTTTTTTTTTGTAGAGACAGAGTCTCATTTTATTGCCCTCAGTAGAGTGCCATGGTGTCACACAGCTCACAGCAACCTCCAGCTCTTGGGCTTAGGCGATCCTCCTGCCTCAGCCTCCTGAGTAGCTGGGACCACAGGCACCCACCACACGCCCAGCTATTTTTTGTTGCAGTTCGGCCGGGGCCGGGTTTGAACCCACCACCCTCATTATATGGGGCC